AGGCAATCCACTCACCTCAGCCTCCCAAAGGCCTGGGATTACAGGCTGAGCCACCGAGCCCGGCTATAAATTTTTTTAAAGTGGAAAAAGAAAGAAACTGAGCAGAGCTATTAGTGCTTTCACACTGACAGGTGCCATAGAATTAGCCCAGACAAGTCAGTTAAAAAAAAAAAAAGGTCGGGTGCGGTGGCTCAAGCCTGTAATCCCAGCACTTTGGAGGCTGAGGCAAGAGGACTGCCTGAGCCCACAGGTTTGAGACCAGGCTGGGTAATATGGTGAAATATCGTCTCTAAAAGAAATAAAAAAAAAATTAACGGGGCCTGATGGCACTCACCTGTAGTTCCAGCTACTTGGAAGGCTGAGGCGGAAAGATCGCCTGAGCCCAGCAGGTCAAAGCTGCGGTGGCTGTGAGCATGCTACTGCACTTCGGCCTGAGTGACAGAGTGAGACTCCGACTCAAAAAAAAAAAAGAAGGATCCAGAGTACTCAGCCACCTGGCAACCTTTGTACAGACAGTGCTGGCAGGGAGGGATTAGAATGCAGATTGCAATTCTAAAAGATCCCACAGTGAGTAAGGGAGATGTCGCCGAGGACGGCAGCCCTGGATATCTCCAGCAGCTCCTGGTCTGCTGAATAAGGTGATGCTTTGGCAGGCTTAGGCACATGGATTAGGGGAACCCAACCCAAGGCTGTGCTTCTGTGATCTGCTCATCATCTCTCCACCAGCATGATCCTATAGCAGGTGCCAGTGTGGCTGAAGAGGCTGCCACCCGCTGTCTCAGCACCACAGCCAAGGGAGGGGAAGGGAGCCAGGGACACTGGTATCTGTTCCTGTTTGTTTTAGGCTCTCACCTGGAGCTCTGGGTGAGCTCAGCTCAGCGTTCTTCTCCGTGAGGACATTTGATCTTCTGCTTTTAAAGGATCCAAACACTATGAGTAAAGACCTCGCCAGAAGGGGCTGGCACTCAATTGATGGGTGGAGTAATTGTTTCAAGGAAGAACTTGACACAGAATCCCCTTCCTGGATTATCCACGGATGAGTAATGTTGTAAAAAATTCAAACATACATAGTGTATTGCTGGACACTGTGTATTTAAATTTCAAAACAATCCAGCAAGTAGGGCAGATGCCCCCTTTTATAGACAAGGAAAAGAGAGAAGTAGTTAAGTACCTTGTCCAAGGTCTTTATGTAGTGAGAGGTAGACATGGGATTTGAACTTAGGTCTTCCGAATTCCATGACAACAGGCTTCCTGTCAGGCCACAGCTACCTTACTCTCGTGTGACATTTGTAATTTTCAAAGGACTTTTACTTATATTATATTCTGCAAGGCTCACCAAAAACCAACATAGTAGGAAAGAGTTTGACAGATTCGAATACAGACTTAACGCTTTGGTTTTTGAGTCAGGGTCTCACTCTGTCGTCCAGGCTGTAGTGCAGTGGCAAGATCATGGTTCGCCATAGCCTCCATCTCCTTGGCTCAGGCAATCCTTCCACCTCAGCCTCCAGAGTGGCTGGCTCATTTTTTGATTTTTGTAGAGACAAGACCTTGATATGTTGTCCATATCAAGGGAACTCCTGGGCCCAAGCAATCCTCCCTCCTTGAACTCCTAAAGTGCTGGGATTACAGGAGTGAGCTACCACTCCCGGCCCAGACTTAATCACCCAGTCCAACCATCCAGCATAAGTCTCACCCTCTTCCATTCCAGGTTGGCTTCCTCACTTTCCACTGTGATTCAGCTTCTTTTTCTTGCCATCCCTTGGTGAGTTTCTTACAGGTACAAAATCATCTTGAGAACAGCCAGGGCCAGGCCTGTTATTCCCTTCCCTGAACAGGGTACTAGCAGTCGCTAAAGGGACAGTGCTTACTGTGCATCAAGTGTGGCACTAAGAATTTGGCATTTGCTCAACTTGCTTAGTGCTCACAGCAACCCCAAGCAGGACCTGTCATTATTAGCCCCATTTACAGTTGATGAAACCAGACATATAGAAGCCAACTTGTCCAAGGTCAAAGAACTAGCAAGTGGTGGACCTGAGACCCAGCCAGGTGGACTGACCCAGAAAAGGTGCAATGCAAAGAATTGAGAATTAGCTGCTGAGCACTTGCCATTGCTTGGCTCAAGGTCCTTCACAGTTGTTCAGAGCAATCCTCTGCCCTATACTGGCTCATCCAGAAACCACTCCAGAGGGGTAAAGTGCTCACTGCCAACATGACCGAATTCTGGAGTTCCATCAACCACCTGTTTCCTGGGGAGTCTAGCATTCATCCCTCCCACTCCTGTCCCGTGTGTGTGAAATTCCCCATGTAGACCTGAGAATTTGCTCTTGCTCTGGGTGGTGTGGTTGGGTGTGGAGGTGAGCTGGATGGGATGGGAGAAGTGAGAGCAGTAACTCGTCTGCAGACCCTTGTCTGTGGGCATCACGGGTTCTCCACTCTCTCACCCCCTGCCCAGATGGGACACCTGTAGCCTAGGCTGGGGCTTCCCAAACCTCCTAGACCATAAAGGCTACCTGGAGAACACTCTGAAGCCCTTCCTCTGAAGAAGCACTGGGGTGGGAACTGGGTTTAGATGACTCTGTGCTTAGACAGCAGTCATTGGCCAGATACGCGTTTGTGGTGTGCTTGCCCTGGGTCAGGCACCGGACGTCCAGAATGGGTAGGGCTCAAACCTTTTCCTCAAGGGGCTTGGGGCCTGGAGAGACACCAACAGGTAACCAGGTGAGTGTACTTTATGTCAGGGCCACGATGGGAAAAGTACAGAGTATGGTGGCAGAACAAGGAGAGGCACCTGACCCAGGCTGGTTGGTAGGGTGGAGGACGGCCTGCCCATAGATCCCAGTTGGGGCCTGGATACAACACACACTCTCATCCTAAGGCAGATGGGGCCCTTGAGCTGATGTCACCAGTCAGCTGGCGGGTTCCTCACTCTGTCCCCTCTGGGTTCTAGATCCAGAAGTCACCTGCTGTCACTCTAGAGTGGAGGGTGGAGGGCTTGGCCTGAGACACCCCCACCCCCTGCACGCCATCTCTTCCTCCCAAGCCTCACATGTGTCTACCCCATGTCACCAGCCTTCCTTCACTGAGCCAGGCGTGTTAGCTCCGCCTGGTTTCCTTCCCATAAGCCTCATTTCTCAGCTCAGTTCCAGGCTTGCCTGGAGGAAGGACTTGGCTGAGGTGCCAGCAGAGTGGCCCAGGGGAACAGTGCCCCTCTTTTTTTTTTTTGAGTCGGAGTCTCACTCTGTCGCCCAGACTGGAGTGCAGTGGCCGCTCCCAGCCACCGCAGCCTCGACCCGCTGGGCTCCGGCGATCCTTCCAAGTAGCTGGAACTACAGGCACGCGCTACCACGCCCAGCTAATTTTTGATTTATTGTAGAGATGAGGTCTCACCAAGTTGCCCGGGCGGGTCTAGAACCCGCGGGCTCAGACAGTCCACTCACCTCAGCCTCCCAAAGGCACGGGATTACAGACTGAGCCACCGAGCCTGGCTAACAGTGCCCCTCTTACCCCGCTCCCACTCTGGGCCCTTTGAAGAGTCGGGCATGAGTAACGCACCACCAGAAGTCAGCCCAACCAGGGGAGAAACAGACTCACCTGCTGTGGGAGGTCACCTCAGGGAGGGACCCAGCCCACCTGGAAGAGGCTGCCCGGCTCTCGGCCCCACGACATGGAGTGCAGTGTCTAAGCACCTGTGGGATCAGGTGACACATGGGTTCCCCAAGACCCTTGAGGAAACTGCACAAAGGGAGGGAGGAGAGAGCCAGCGTTTTGTCAACAGAGGCAAGTTTGGGTGATTAAGCTAAGAAAGCAAAGCCATTTTGGTCCAGAGGATTAGCTCTGAGGTGTGTTGGGAACCAAGAAGTAACTTGTTGCCTGCGAGGCAGACCAAACCCAAGCTGACTCCAACTAATTGCTCGTCTCTCCTGTTGCCAAGCCAGACTCCTGGGTATATAAAGGCCAGTCTCCTCTGTCATTCCATCCTCGGTGTCTTCCCTCTCAGTGCTTGCTAAGTGATTGCTAGCACACCTCCGAGCTCCTCGCCATGAGCAGACAAGCCTGCAAGAAATCCTTCAGTAGTGGGAGCCAGGGCTTCTCGGGCCACTCCGCCGTGGTCTCGGGCAGCAGCAAGATGGGCGGTGTGTTCCGTTCTGGGGGAGCTGGCGGAGGGGCTTGTGGCTTCCGTGGTGGAGCGGGTGGTTTTGGCAGCCGCAGCCTCTACAACCTGGGTGGTCACAAGAGCACCTCCATTAGTGTGGCAGCTGGCGGCTCCCAGGCTGGCGGCTTTGGAAGGTGGAGCAGCTGTGGCTTTGGGGGCGGCTATGGAGGTGGCTTTGGTGGTGGTTTTGGTGGAGGCAGAGGTATGGGAGGTGGCTTTGGGGGAGCTGGTGGCTTTGGGGGAGCTGGTGGCTTTGGGGGAGCTGGTGGCTTTGGTGGGCCTGGAGGCTTTGGTGGGCCTGGTGGCTTTGGCCCTGGAGGCTTCCCTGGGGGAATCCAGGAAGTGACTGTCAACCAGAGCCTCCTGCAGCCCCTCAATGTGGAGATTGACCCCCAGATTGGTCAAGTAAAAGCCCAGGAGCGAGAACAGATCAAGACCCTCAACAACAAGTTCGCCTCCTTCATCGACAAGGTGAGGTCAAGCTGGGGGGTGTTGTGGAGGGTGTGGGCTGCCCAGGGTTGGTCGAGGAAGATGCTGGGGGCCTGTGAGGCTTGGAGGTGGGGTGCCTGGCTCCTGTCCTGGCTCTGCCTTGTCCCTGCAGGACAGTGAGCACACCTCTCTTGCTGGTGGGGCCCATTTTATCTAGCCGTGAAATGGGGGAAGGATTTCCTTCCCAATTTCCTTCTAGAAATGAGACAAAGGAGGGACCAAACATGCTCTTAGCTCTTTGAAGAGTGGGGGAGCTAGTCAGGGAAGCAGTGCAGTTAGCTTTCAATTCCTCCTGGAGAGCAACTGCTTGATAACCCACACTAGCTGGTTGTCAAGCTTGCATTGGCGCAAACCAAGGGAGGGCATCTAAATGAGGAGTGTTGGCGCCCGACCTACCTTCCGTATGACATTGTGCTTGTGTCATGAACTTGAACTGTCCATGCAGGGGCAGAAAAGGCCCTGCTGTCCTGCGGGGGTTGAGCCCAGGGTCTGCAGTGAAACCTAGAGCAGCTGCAAGTCCGGTACCTGAAAGGAGGTCCTTGTATGTGAAACTTCCAAAGAAAGGTTAGACCTTGGTTGGCTGTTTTCACTGCCTTACGGGGGACGAAAAAACTTACATTTAAAAAGCAGTGACAAATCATTACTGATACTGACCACCTTTAATTATGTACTGAGGGATCCTAGCAGACCTAGGGTTTGACTCTTAGCTTTGTCCCTCAGTAGACATGTCACTTGGATAACTCACTTAAATTCTTTGAGTATTCTTATCTACAGAATTGGGATTGCAGGTGGTTGTGAAGACGAAAAGAGATGAAACACACAAAAGTAGCAGGTGTAGAGTGAGCAGTCAATGAATTCTAGCTCTCCCTTTTCCAGATCCTCATCCTAAACCAAATCACAAGACAGAGGCAACTGCAGGTTGAAGAAGGAGGTGCATTCTCCACATTCTCACTGATTGGGAGGGCCACCCCATACGCACAACTCAAAGGCCATCTCCTTTTCTTCCTCACCTGATGCAGGTGCGATTCCTGGAACAGCAAAACAAGGTCCTGGAGACCAAGTGGGAGCTGCTCCAGCAGCAGACGGTGGGCTCCGGCTCGGGTCCCAGCAGCCTGGAGCCACTCTTGGAATCCTACATTGGCTTTCTGCGCAAGCGGCTGGACTCGCTTCTGGGGGAGAGGGGCCCCCTGGAGGGAGAGCTGAAGAACATGCAGGACCTGGTGGAGGACTTCAAAAAGAAGTGAGGGCTCCCACTGGGGAGTTTCCCTTTCTGGGGAATTAGCAGGGAGGCGTGGTCCTAATTTGGGATTTCAGCTGCACCTTTAGTCAATATTCGGGATAAATGAATTGGAGGAAGCATGACCAAGCAGAAGGGGGTGGGGAAGGGATTGAAACTCCTATATGGCTGGTTATGTGACATGTCTACTGGGGCAGCTGGTACTGGGGGGAGGGGACTGCCTGGGACTGAAATGCTGTGTAATAACCAGCCATGTAGGTGTTTCAATCCCTTCCCCACCCCCTTCTTTAAGGCCCTAAGGGTGGCAGGCCCTCCTCACTTTACTGTTGATAGGAGTCACCTTGGAAGCTTGTCAAACGGGCATATTTCTGGCCGGGTGTGGTGGTTCACACCTGTAATCCCAGCACTTTGGGAGGCTGAGGAAGGAGGATTGTTTGAGCCTGGGCAACATAGCAAGACCAGCCTGGGCAATATAGTGAGACCACACTGCTACAAAAGATGAAAAAATAAGCCAGGTGTGGTGGCACCCGCCTGTGGTTCCAGCTACTTGGAAGGCTGAGGTGGGAGGATCACCTGAGCCCCCAGTTTCGAGGCTGTCGTGGCTGTGAACATGCCACTGCACTCCAGCCTTGGAGACAGAGTGAGACTTCACCCTCCTCCCCACCCCAAAATTTAAATAATAATAAAAACAAGGAAAATAGTAAAAGAGAGAACAAAGGCAGAAATACTCGGTGAGAGCAAATATCTCTTTGGGTCCCATAGGTTCACACTGTGCTTTTTAAAGTCAAAGAGCAAAGTAGTCAGGCCCCATCCAAGTATATGTCTCTTTCTGCTCCAGGTATGAAGATGAGATCAACAAACGCACCGCGGCAGAGAATGAGTTTGTGGGTCTCAAAAAGGTAGGTGGGCTAGGACAAGCACAGTCAGCCTCCCTTTCTGGGGGCTCCCCCCCGAGAGAGCAGAGCCAGCATGGGGGTGGGGGGCACAGGGCTTTACAGTTTTCCTATGTTTTTGGAAATGAGGTGTCTGGTGAAGGAAGCCGCTCTAGGTATACGTCATGGGGAAGATATCTTAAAATGCAACTTCAGCTCATGGGCGGATTTGGAATGTGAAATAGTAATGAGCGTGTTGTGTGTAGCATTAATCAAGATTTTCAGCCTATGAATATTCCCTGGATATTATCAACAATAACAATCAAAATAGTCATCATGAAGATGAAGCAGTGAGACCCATCCTCATCTCTATTGAGGAAGTTGGGGTTCTGGTGCTATATAACCAAAGTCACAAACATCTTAGGTGCATGTGAGTTCTCTGCACTAAAATTAGATGACTTGCTCTGTGCCTGGCCAATATGGTTTGTATTTTGTTAAAGCATTGGGGCTTGATTGGTCAAAGCAGTTGAAAGGAAGAAAACCACCTTGCTTTAACTTAAAAGGGAAGGTAAGAAGTCGTAATTAGGAGGAGGAAGAGGGACAAAGGGAGGTAAGAGTTTAGGAAAGAGTTGTGGGTGGGGGAGCAGATGGTCATTCTGTGGGCTTTTGCCTGGCCTACAGGATGTGGACGTGGCCTACATGAACAAGGTGGAGCTGCAGGCCAAGGTGGACGCCCTGACGGATGAAATCAACTTCCTGAGGACCCTCCATGAGATGGTGGGTACCGCTGGCCGAGCTCCAGCACCCTCCTGCCTGCACCTTCCCCAGCATGGTTTTGGGGGCACTCAAGCAGCAGGATGCTCACAAAATCAGCCTTGGGGCTCAGAACTCACCTCAGCCCCACCCAGGAGATGCTAATGTGGCTCCCCCAGCCTGCATAGACCTGGCCCACGGGTGCAGGGCCCCTCTCTGTCTTCAGTCCATTTTGCTCCACACCCTCCCTGTGGCTTCTCTGCCGGCCCCACAGCTGGTTTCCCCATGATACTCTTCCCCACTGGGGCCTGTAGAGCCCCATGCAGGAGGGCTTGCCGACTGATGCTTTTAGGCTGACAACCTGATTACATTTGCATTTCCTTTTCCTTTCACCTTATTGTCTGCATCCCTTAGGCTAGGTCTGAAATGTAAGCTTATTTTGCTAACTGTCCCACTCCTGTCTGCATCCTTGCTAGTAGCAGACTCCCAGCATCCCCTGGGGTGACCATCTGTGTTTCTGGCAGGAGCTGTCCCAGATGCAGAGCCATGTCAGCGACACATCTGTGGTGTTGTCCATGGACAACAACCGCTGCCTGGACCTGGATAGCATCATCGCTGAGGTCCGCGCCCAGTATGAGGAGATCGCCCAGAGGAGCAAGGCCGAGGCCGAGGCGCTGTACCAGACCAAGGTGGGAACTCTCCCCTCATCCCTGGACTCTAGTTTTAGGTCCCGATGACCTTCATCAAGAATGTGCCAACATTTTGCAAAGCCATGTTGGTCGGTTTCTCCTCTGTCAGCTTGGGGAGTTGCAGAGCACGGCCGGCAGGCACGGGGATGACCTGAGAAGCACCAAGAGCGAGATCATGGAACTCAACAGGATGATTCAGAGGCTGCGGGCTGAGATCGAGAACGTCAAGAAGCAGGTGGGCTGGATTTAATGGCAGGATCCTGGAGGTCTTCTGGGCCCTGGGGAGAAGGAGGAACACCAGCTGTGCCCCTCTGCCACGTGCTTTCTCTGCCCTTTTGTGGTGTCACATGTGGGATTGCACAAGCTCCGGGAACCTCTGTTCTCCCAGACACTCCTCTTGGTGGCTGGCTCCTTGGCAGGCTCCCCCAGGAGAGGTGTGGGCTCACTTTGCTTTGCCCAAAGGGTTACAACTGCAGCGTTGGCCTGAAACACTCGGCTCTCAGCAGCATCTGCCCTGAGCGAGGCTACTTATCACACTCTTCACATTACCCCCACGGCTGCTCTGTGTTACTGCAGTGAAGTGACTAGGCAAAGGTGTTTTTAACAGCCTTACAAAAAAGATCAGAGACCAACCTAACCACCGCTACCCTGACCAGCCTAGGAAAGCAAATCAGTGTTCCTTTATCTTGAAGAGATTGAATTGATTTCAATGGGCCAAAGATAAATTAACCAACTGCAAAAAATCGACTTCTGTTTTCTGAGCATCCTCCGTTAGGATTTCTAAGGAAAAGGAGGAAGGGATGTTGGATGAGGGGGAGGGATCTCCTCTCAGGAGAGATCAGATGTCTGTTTCCTGGTCACGGTGCTAATCTTCCGCCTCCTCTTGCCCCAGAATGCCAACCTGCAGGCAGCCATCGCAGAAGCTGAGCAGCGTGGGGAGCTGGCCCTCAAGGACGCCAACGCCAAGCTCCAAGACTTGCAGGCTGCCCTGCAGAAGGCCAAGGATGATCTGGCCCGGCTGCTGCGTGACTACCAGGAGCTGATGAATGTGAAGCTGGCCCTGGACGTGGAGATCGCCACCTACCGCAAGCTGCTGGAAGGCGAGGAGTGCAGGTGAGGGCCATGGGCCACCATTCTCCAGACATAGTTTTAGAGGGACCTTTGATAATGAAGAAGGAGGCAAGATGACAAGGAGAGGAACCTCAAAGGGCAAGGAGTCTCTTATATGACAGCACTGAGGATTCAAGCCCCATTATTGGACGTCCATCAAGGTCATCCAATTTTTCAATTCATCATGAGCATCGATATTGTGTTATGTACGTCTACTGTTTGTCATCATGTGCAATGTGTTAGGAAAGTACTTTGGAATTATGACAAGAGTTATAGACCAGTGCTGTCCACTGGAACTTTCTGAGATGATGAAAATGTTCAATTCTTGAGCTGTCCAATGCTGTAGGCATTAGTCACTTGAATACTCGAAATGTAGTCAGTGCACACTTCACTGAGTTTCACATTTAATCTAAGTTAACTAAAATATCTTCATGTGGCTAGTGGCCACCATATTGGCTCAGTATAGACAGTCCTACAATGCCCCAGCCCCTGACACTGAGTCCCTACAGGGAGATGGTTGACACATACATACTCTCGAAAAATAACACAATATTTAGAAGCAAACAAAGGTTTAGTGGACAGGAGTGTCGAGAATTAAGAGATCTGTCTGCTGACCCCGTTCAGAGTCTCTGTACTCAGGCAGCTCCCAATCTGATGGAGAAATAAGAGCCCATGTATGAGAGGACAAGGATTTCTACGAGTCTCTGTAGAAAAACGTGAGAGTGCAGATGGTGTGAAGTGTACCGGGAGTCATGGGATGAGGAGGGAGTGGGTGCACACAGCTGAGGTGTGCAGACACATTCCATGGCTACTCAGATATGCAGACTGCCTGTCCCATAAACAAGAGTACAAACCAGCGGGGGTGGGCAGTGTGGGTGGGACACGTCAAATCCATCCTGTGTCGAGTGTCAGCCCTTCTCATATTTTCTCCACTGAAAACAACCACCATCACCTCCATCACCACCCCGGAGGGCTCACTGGGGACAACTTCTTGGAAAAGGAAAGTTGGACGTAGAAAAGCCTGGGCTAGGTGGAGAAGGGGAGGGGCGTGCCGAGGTGGGAAGACGGCCTCAGAGAGGGGAGCACAGGCTCATTACGTCAGAGGTGGAAGTTGAGCAGTTGGCCTGGAGCAGATAATATTTAGGCTAAGGGAAAAAGGGTGGGAATATGAAGCGATGGAGCGTGGCCAGTAGAGGTATTGAGAGTCTCAGCCCCTGCAGTGCCCCCTTTCCGGGGAAATACAGTTATGAAGACAGACTGGAAGAGCTTTCCTTATCCCAGGAGCTCGGACCCAAGTGGGGCACACAGGAGGGTACGGCTCCCCAGGCTGTGAGTCCACAGCTCTGTGGCTATTGACTCCCTGCAGGACTAACTCAAGTCTCCTTCTCCTCCTCTTCAGGATGTCTGGGGAGTGTCAGAGCGCTGTGAGCATTTGTAAGTAGCCCATTCAAAAACCTTCTCTCTGGGTTGTGAAAAGGACAACGGGAAGCTTTCTCACTGACCCTCAGACAAGAGGGCCTGAGCCACCCAAGGAGGCCAGGCCACCTGACCATGACTGGGTTCGCAGGGTTGGCCACATGCTCTGTTCCCTAGTGTAAGCTGGCAACTTCTCAGGCCAAAGCTAAAACTCCTGTGGTTTTGCAGGGAGCGGGGGTGCCCTAGCTCGGAGGACCAGAGATTTCTGTGAATACTTCCTTGGGAGAGGACACAAGAGCGACAGGCATTTGAGAAGCTGAGCCTTTTTTTTTTTTTGAGTCAGAGTCTCACTCCATCGCCCAGGCTGGAGTGCCATGGCACACTCACAGCTACCCCAGTGTCAATCTGCTGGACTCCAGCAATCCTTCCGCCTTCAGCCTTCCAAGAAGCTGGAACTACAGGCATGTGCTACCATGCTCGGCTAATTTTTGATTTATTGTCGAGACAAGGTCTTGCCAAGTTGCCTGGGCTAGTGTCGAACCCGCGGGCTCAAGGCAATCCACTCGCCTCCGCCTCCCAAAGTGCTGGGATTACAGGCTGAGCCACTGAGCCTGGCCTCCAGTTCCCCAGGTCTTTTGCCTCAATTGTGTGCTTGCTCCCCTGTAGCAGTGGTCAGCAATGTCACCAACACAAGCAGCAGCGTTGGTGGAAGTCGTGGAGGCTACGGAGGGGTCGGTGGCAGCAGTGGCTACAGGGGCGGCAGCGGCAGCAGCAGCAGAGGCAGCAGCGGCTACGGCGGGGTCGGCGGTGACAGCAGCGGGGACAGGGGCAGCAGCGGGGGCTACCAGAGCGGTGGCAGTGGGAGCAGGCTTGGCGGCGTAGGAGGCAGCTCCGGGAGTCAGGGTGGATTGGGCTCTGGCTCTGGCAGCGTCCAGACCTCTGGAGGCAGCGGCTACAAGTCCGGCAGTGGGGGCAGCATCAGCATCCGCTTCTCCCAGACCAGCAGCTCCAGCCAGCATGGCTCCAAGTGACCCTCTGGTGGAGTACACCTGCCTACTCCGCCCCCCTCCTGCCCGTAGCCTTCCCTCCCACTCCCAGCTGTGCACGGTCAGATGCACACAGCTCCCCACGCCTTTCCTCGAATTCCCTGGAGGAGGGGTGAACTCCTGGGTCCTCCCTGCCCTGATCCTCTCCCAGGCCATGGAGGGCCAGCCGCCAGTCTGGGTGAGAGTGCCCCTGGAAGAGCCCCTGCGACGCCCCCTTTCTTTGGACAGCAACACCTGAGCCCAAGTCAGTCTGGGTCTCCCCAGTGGGCCTATTCCCGCTCTGGCTCATCGCCCTCTCACTGGGCGTTGAAGTTTGAAGCTGGCACATCTCAGCACTGCATGGGGAGGGCAGTGAGTGGCCTAGGGGCTGGAGGGCAGATGACTGAGATCTCAGACTGTTGGTTCCCAGGGAGCCCTCCCCACACCTGGGGCTTTGTATCCTGACCCCCTTCTGTTGCCTATTCCCTGAGCCGTGGATCCTCTGGTGATAAGTATGTCGCACTTTCTTTTCTCAATAAACTGCACTGTTTCACATTTCAGCGTCTGGCTTTCATTCGAGGAGTCATGGCATAGATCAGGGCCCAAAGGTGCAGGGAAATCATGTGGTGGTAGTCTTCCCAAAGCTCAGTAGAGGGTCTAAAGGCCCCTGGATAATATCGGCGGCCCCTCTCCCTGTTTGGTTGGGTTCCTGTGATAGGTCTGCCCTAGAGTATCTATGCTGTTTAAGTGGAGACTGCCTCCATGCTCAAGGTCATTGCACCCGTCCTCCAGCTTCTGAGCAGGCCTCTCAACCAAGTCTTAAATGAAGAGGGTTCTGTGGCTCATCAAGAAACCCAGTTCCCCTGGGACTTCAGCTCCTTTGTTTCATCCCCAACCCAGCCAGACACAGAATGAATCCTCATCCTGCAAACACAGCTCTTGGGTCTGAGGGGGTCAATACATAATGCCGTCTTTTCTTTGCACAGATTCTAAGACAATGAAAAAATGAAGCCAAAAGAATGAGTGAATGGAGTCAATATTGCCTTTACACACAGCAGACACTGGAGGATGTATTTTATACTTCGGGCGGAAAGGGTTTGCTATTACGGGACGTCAGGGTTAGACCAGCAGTACAGGGCCACTGTGGACTTCCCTACCAGGTCAGACCTGGTAGAGAACAGAGAGCAGAACATAAGCTTGCTGTGGACAGCTAGCTCCTATGAGACAGCGGGACTTTGCTCTGCATGTCCAGCTCTTCCTTCCAAACTCACCAGTGAGGTGAGAGAGTGGTTGAGAGTGTCACTAGCGAAGCCCACTCCACATGGATGTAAACGTAGGACCAGGGATGAGGCGTGCCAGCCCTCACGCCAGCATCTACCAGTGGATCTCAGCGAGCTGAAACCCAAATCAGGGAGAATAGAGTAATGAGAGTCAATAAGGGAAATCTGGGAAATTGAGAGCTTCAGGGCAATGGCACCTGGGGGCCTTGATCTTTTACCTACCCCCCAAATTAATCCCATCTGCATGCCTTTAAGCGTGGTGAAATTAGTAAGTCACTGTAGATCACATATTAGCACCCAGAAGACAGGTCAGGGCTGGACTAATGAGACGGCCTCTGGGACAGGGATCAGCCATTCAGACCAAACCCAGGAGAATCCCAGAACTGGCATCATGTCCCACGTTATTGACACAGGCTGGGACTAAGTCATGCACCAGCGGCGCAGGACAGTGGAAGTTCCCAGGGTGAGGGCACCATGTCTGAGGCCAGGCTAGGGGCTGGGGAGGAGGGACTCAATCAGAGTCCGTGTGAGATGGGCAAGCCTGAGTCTTCTTAGCCTTGCAGGACCCCTCGATCCATCTCTTATTTGAAGAACCAAGGAGAGGAGGAATTTGCTTGTGTGGAATGGGCAGAGGAGTGACAGGAGCCTTCCTGAATGGATACTTGAAATCCCACTCGTTGTCTTTAGGATTAAACAATCTGTCTCCTAGTGGCACCTGCTTTTTTATTTTCCATCCTTTATTTTTATTCTTTATCTTTCGCTTTTCTCCCTCTCCTTCTAGAGATCTTTTCCTAACTTATAAAAGCAAACACACCTTATGGCAAAAATGCAAAAAACCTAGCAAAATTAAAAAAGAAAATTATGATCACCCATAAATTCTGTACCACCCTGTGACATCTGACACACACACACACATACTGCTTTTTATCCTGATTTTAACCTAATCTGTTGTGGAACTTATCCATTCAGTAATTCAACAACTAGAATGCGTGCCTACCATTTTCCAGACATCGTGCCAGGTCCAAGGATAGAGCAGAGAAAGCACATAGCTTCTGCCCTCATGGAGTTTACATTCTAGCTGGGAAGAAAGTTACCAAATAACATCTTTGCATAACAGCAACTAGAGATGGAGGTTATCATTGCAGATTCTTACTTTTACTTAAGAAACAAAATCAAAGGCACACATTGGGTACTAAACTATTATTCTTCTTTCTAGAGGTGTGACGTGTATTTTCTAGTCAGTAATGTTCTACTCAACATTTTACTAAACCAAATTCAGAGATTACCTTTGCTACCTCTGAAGCTCTTTGCTACCTTCTTTTTCCTGGGCTGAGCTAGACAGTGGAACACCATTATTTTGGTAGAGAATATTTGGACAGGAAGAAGGCTAGAGTTGGAATTGCAGAGCCTGAAGAATTACACTTTAGCAAACTCACTCCACTTCAACCACAAATCTAACAAACTGATTGATACAGAAAGGATTTTAGGCAAACCTGTACAAACACACTTACTATAAGAAAAAGATACCTTTCCATCGATTTCTAGCACAGTAAACTTTGGTGATCAGTAAGTGATTTCAATAAAGAAAGCATTTTGTATTCACAACACTAACAACTAAAAAGTACATACTATTTAACACTTATTTCTTTACGTGGGCAATCGTAGAAACTCTCAGACTAGATCTACACTATTAGCCCGAGTATTCACCAATAAAAATTTTCAAAACCGGTGTTAAAACAAAAGGCTTCTTTAGAAACAGTGGAACCACATCAGGACTAGCAGAAGAAAGTGACAAAAAAACTGTGAACTCAAGATGAGGAGCTGATTTTCAGATGTAATTTGGTTAAGGACATCCTTTTCAGTTGCTTCTCACAGCCAAGACTGGCTCTACTTTTCCCACAATAGTAGGCAGAAAACAGGAGCTTCAGAAATCTCAAGACAGGGGCATCTGGCTTGAGTAAGACCCTAGATAAACACTCCCAAATAGTCACAAAGCCCACACAGGTGGACCATTGGGGTTGACAGACTACACTTTTAACCAAGTGAAAAAGCTGTGAGCACACAAAAGCTTGGTGCCAAGCCTTCCTGTGTTATTTGGGACAGGGAGGGTGTGTGATGGTGCCATTTTCCACGATGTTGACATAGGAACATACATGCTGGGGAAAGAGGTCTTCCAGGTGGAATGTGTGATACAGTCTTGCCCCAGAGAAGTCCGACTCTCAGAAGCGCCCAAAAGAGGAGTCTACTTTCGTAGAAGCAGTAGGTTTGTGAACACAAGAACGTGTTTCAGGAAAAGCAGAGATCCCTGGAAGGTCAGGTAATTCTCTTTTTGATTCATCAACACTTAACATTAATGAACTGCAGAGTCGCACTTTCCAAATGTATTCTCCGGGAATTAGGAACAGAAGCCTCCCCCGCGACTAACCAGCCTGTGATGCCCAGAAGGCTCCCACTGCCTGGGGGCAGGAGCTAGCTCTGCAGACTGTCCTGGGCGGCGGGCATAGAAGGTGTTTTGCGCAACGAAGTCACCACTAAACCGCTGCCTAAATCCAGTCCCCGGCCTTCTTTTTCTGCTCTGTAGTCCAGAAACATCTCTTTAAAGGCCAGAAAGTCCGTAAATGTGAGCAGCATGTCGAATATGTCAGCGGCCACTTCGTCTTCGTGATACTTTATCGTAGTGGTGAAAGCTGCCATACTGAATCCGGGAATCCGCTCCAGCAGCTGTTCTTCGATGTATTTTTCTACCAAAGAAAGGTATTCATTAAAAATTGTCGTGTAGGCGAGTTTATTCTCTTCCGTGTCTTCAAACTCGTGGTAGTATTTGTCCATGAAACTTCTCTGCAGTACCTGGAACTCGGCATCCATGATAACGTTCTCTATAGAACCCACCACAGCATCAAATTGGGTTTCAGAAGCGGAAGAGGTGGACAACGCGAAACACTCTTCCTCTGGGGCTTCCGTCACTTCCGCCGCTGCCTCCGCCCCTGTCCCGGAAGTGGGCGGTGAGGGGGGCTTCCGACCCTCCTGTGGCCCGGCCGCCATGGCCCAGCAGAGTCTGCGCTTGCGCGGCCGGGCCCCGCCTTCTCTCCCTCCCTTGCCTCTCTGCTTTGCTGACGTCCAGGCGCCACGCCCTGCCACCGTCACCGTGGAGAAGACCGTCTTCTTAATGACTGCATAATATTGCATTATATGGATGTAACACATTTTGATGTATATGTTATTTCTCCTTTTTCCACTGTAATACGCGATGCTACCGCGAACATGCACGTCTCTGAACAATGGGTCCAGCTCTTGCTTTAAGATCACTTTCTAGAAGTTACTGGAATCGAGGAATCATTTGAACATTTTGATTAGGGCCAGACGCGGTGTCTCAAGCCTGTAATCCCAGCCCTTTGGGAGGCAGAGGCGAGAGGATTGCCTGAGTCCAGGGGTTGGAGACCAGCCTGAGCAACTTGGTGAGACCTCGTCTCTACAATAAAAAAAAAAAGAAAAAAGAAAATTAGCTGGGCATGGTGGCACGTACTTGTAGTTCCAGCTACTTGGAAGACTGAGGCGGAGGGAGGCTCAGCAGGTCGAGGCTGCGGTGGCCGTGAGTGTGCCACTGCACTTCAGCCTGGGCGATGGAGTGAGATTCCAACTAAAAAAAAAAAAAAAAAAAGATTTATGTGGTCAAATTGCTCTCCAGAAAGAGTGTACCAAGTAATGTCAAAGACTACCTGTTTCCTCACCGTCTTCTGAACATTATGTGGTATTCTATTTTTTTTTTTTTTGAGTTGGAGTCTCACTCTTTCGCCCAGGCTGGTGTGCAGTGGCACGCTCACTACCACCCCAGCATGGAACTCCTGGGCTCCAGGTGTCCTTCCGCCTCAGCCTTCCAAGTAGCTGGAACTACAGGCACGTGCCACCACGCCCGGCTTATTTTTTTTTTATTTGTTGTAGAGACGAGGTCTCGCCAAATTGCCCAGGCTGGTCTTGAACCTTCAGGCTCAGGCAATCCACTTGCCTCGGCCTCCCAAAGTGCTGGGGTTACAGGCTGAGCCACCGAGTTTGGTCTCGTATTCTTTTTTGGTATTGTTTTTTGAGTGTTCTTAGTTTTATTTTTAATTTTTTGATTACTAATGTGATTGAACATTAAATATATGCTTGTTCACTATTCGATTTTCATTTTTCTGTGAATTGTGTCTTCATTGGTTTAATCCATTTTCTCTTTGGGTGATCATTTTGTTTTTCTTAGTTGTCTGTCTGTACAAACGCTATAGATTAGTAAAACTAGCTATTTGTTTGTAAAACATATTGCAAACAATGTCTTATAAATGCAGATCTCTATGAGATAAATATTATATCCAGCTCTGGCCATGTTATCATGACCAGATGAAAGAATGACACACTCTTATTGAACATGTACTGTGTGGTCAGCTTTGTGGTAGGCCTGAGGTCAAAGGATATTCCAGCATTTTGAGCAGAAAGAGATAATTCATGAACCTCAGCAGAGGCTGTCTAGGGCAGGCTGCATTATTTAGACAATGACCAGATTAGATTTGGATATCCGTAAAGAGACAAAGGCAGTCAAGAACCTACTGGGGGAGCATGACTTAAATGGGGAGGGTTTTGTACTGATGTCATATGCTGAGTGTTGATGAGACTAGGGATACGTCCCCTACAACCTGAGCTTTATGTCTCTACCCATCTTGCTTTTCTTCTTGCCAGGGGTCTTGGTGATGGCTAAGCCCGTCTTCCTCTGGGAAGCTGGTTCCTTATACCACCATAGCTCCTGGCAAGTTTCCCGACAGCCAGTCCTGGGTATCCTAGTTTATTCTGTGGTTCTGCATTGCCCCTCTCTTTTGCCAGACTGAGGCAAGGACTCCAACAGCACCATAGCCACTGAAGAGAGCAGAATCTCAGCGACATTTGTAATTGGGCCAGAATTTGTGCCCTGTGGGGATGCTGAGAATAGCTGGGGTGACAAACATAGAACCTAGGCCAGTGGCAGGGAGACCAGAGAGGCTAACAGGTTTGCAGGGAAGTGGGGCTAAGTTGTGGAGAAGGGCCACCTCCACTCAGTGGTAGATGAGAAGATGGAGTGGGATGAGGATAAGACAGAGCTGGACCAACTTCCTAGGAATGAGGGGCTGGTAGTGGATGGGTGGTGAGCCCCCACTCTTTTGAGACCTAAGGTCTAAAGAGGAGGGAACTATCTCCAGTCCTTTGTTGAATCTCCCCAATCACTGGTTTCTGTAGTTGACCCTTCTCCACTGCTCAATGCAGGGTGGGCATTGCCTTTCTAGAACAAGACAGCTTTGGCACCACATCTTTTTTTTTTTTTTAGTTAGAGTCTCACTCTGTTGCTCAGGCTGGAGTGCAGTGGCACGCTTACGGCCACCACAGCCTCTACCTGCTGGGCTCAGGTGATCCTTCCACCTCAGCCTTCCTCAGCTGGAACTACAGGTGTGCACCATCATGCCTGGCTAATTTTTTTTGACTTATTGTAGAGACGAGGTCTCACCAACTTGCCCAGACTGGTCTTGAACCCCTGAGCTCAGGTACTTCTCTCGCCTCTGCCTTCCAAAGTGTTGGGATTATAGGCGTAAGCCATTGTGCCCAGCCAGCACCACATCTTCTCTCAGCTGATAGTCCAGGGTCACTCTTAAAAGCAAAGAGTCTCATGGCTTTATATACACTTCAGGAGGGAGTACTGTGTCCAGCTTCCTGACAAACTGAACCTGTTCACGGTTTATCCACCACGTCCAAAAGAAGCTTGCCAAATTGCATCAGAATGGAGAATGGGAACCTATTTATGCAGACTTGTAGCTTTTTAAGGAATGTAGGGATTCAAAAAACATGTGCAAGTTCCAGGGGTGAAGATACTGATAATGATGGTTTGGATATGGTGGTGACATTTATACCAGGTTTTAGCCACAGCAGAGAGATCTGGTGGCATGAGGACTGAAGGGTGTCTATAGGGTTTGGCTTTTAGGAAGTCGCTGAGGAATGCACTTTCAGGATTATGGTGTTGGGTTATGCACAGAGCCAGTCTTCGTGGGTTTAGGAGTTGATCAGAGACAGAGAAGTGGACAGGATGAAGGTGGGGTTAGCTTTTTGGGACATTTAGTTGAGAAGGAGGTGAGGCATAAGATAACAACAAGGTGTCATGGGTCGTGAAAGGTGCTTTAAGGGTAGGAAAGAAGACTTGAGTGTGGGAGGAGGGATGGGAGGGTAACTGATGGAGCAAGAATTAGAGGGGACAGGAGGGGAGGCCATCGTGCAACTTGTACAAGAAGAAAGAAAACATGGGTGTGGAGGCAGGTGGGAGTGGAGGCATGGAAGGGATGCTGAGGGAGGCCACCCCTGATGGCTTTGGTGTTCTTGTAGAATTGAGGGGTGGGGACTGAAGATGGGCTGGAGGAGGGTAGTGGGAGTTTGAGGCGTGATGGGAAGTTGACAGCACAAGGGAGAGGTTGAGCACCTGGCTGAGAATGGAGGCCTGGGGTGCCTCAGATGACGTGCTCGTGTGATCCTCCCAGCAGTGTTCAATCTCTGTGGCAGGTGGGAGAAGGAAGGTTGTAGTCATGACCAAGAGCTGGGATTTAGTTAGGCTGATGGTTGGAAGACAGGGGCATAGGGGAATAGACAAGGCTGGGGAGTGGATACTCAGATGGTCCTTACACCATTGGTTCTATGGGGAATGAGGCGGCATCATTTTTGTTCACCCTTCCCCACCACCTGGTCAATGTCTAGCACACTGCAGATACTCAAAAAGTACTTGTTGAATGAATGAACAAATGAATGAGTAATGCTTAAATTGGAAACAGCAGGAAAAGAGACCAGCAGAGAGCTAATGGAAAAAATGAAGGAGTCAAGACAATGAACATATTTACAAGAGTGAGGAGCAGACATAGTGGGAGAGAACTGGAAGGTGGGAGGTTATGGTCAGAGATGGGGCTTTGGAGTTTAAGCTTTCAGGAGGGACCCGTTCTTGGTGATGGTCCAGGGTGTGGCCGTGGAGTGGTGGCTGAGTGGTGTGGAGGAGAAGGCGACTGGCGTTGAAAAGATCAAGGGATCCCAGGGTCAGGATGCTGAGTGGGCCACCCTCTCAGGGGCAGAACTTGCCAAGGATGATGGTTGGTGGGGAGCAGTGTGGCATTCCAGAATCCTGGGGGGAAAGAAACCTCCGAGGCCATTTGCTCAACTTCCCACCAAGTGATGGCTCGGAGATTGGCTTGGATGGAATGATGGAAGGAGGAAGGAGAAGGAGCAAGGGGGAGGGAGTTCAAGGTCAAGAGAGGAGCTTATTCTGCTAGAACAGGCAGCCTAGGCATTTCCTAGGTGGCAGAGTGACCTGTTGGAACCACGGAAGGTCATGTTGGGGGTGATGCAGGATGGATGGGAGCAAGGAGGGATGAGGGACTCAGGGCAGACCTTTGGGGAGAAGTGAACCATGTCAACCTCATGACCTGCCGTCCTCTGCCAGGCTGTTGTGACCAGAAGAACTTCTTCCCATTCAGTGTTCATGAGCTTGCGTCCATGCCTGTGACACACTCTGCTCTGTTGTCTTCAGCAGCTTGTGATGACCAAGCTTCACATGAAGCTGTCATGTTAGCTGTACGACCTGGGTCCTGCAAGTCTCTCTAATCCAACATGGGATGCTCCAAATTGGCTCAAGATGCCCCTTCTGGGAAGCCTTCCTGGACCATCATCCCTTCACAGTTCCTATTCCAACTCCCTTCTGTCACTGCAACAGACACGTTTCCAGTCCCATCTGTGCCTGCCTCATGCTCTGGGTGAGAGCATCAGGTGGTTTGCTCCCTGGGTGGACAGAGTACATCCCCTCCTTCCTACAGACTCCTTGTTCTATAACCCCCCCCAAAAGGCTCAATAAATGGAAGAGAACTGCTTTTGCCTAAATGTTAGCTCCCGGGCTGTCTTGTGGGCCTTGCAACGAAGGTCCTTTCTGTGGAGAAATGTGAGGCCCAATTAGGCCAGCAAAAATTGGATAAATTATAGTGAGGAAGGGAGTTTCAGGGTGAGGTTTCACAGAAGTTACAAGAAATGAACCACAGCAAGAGCTGTAAAAACTTGTTAAGCAGGTGTAAATCATTGTTGTAAGCCAACTGTTAGCTGACTGCTAACTGTAAAAGCAGTTAACTCACCCTATCTTTTTTTTTTTGAGTTGGAGACTCACTCTGTTGTCCTGACTGGAGTGCAGTGGCACGCTCCTGGCCACTGCAGCCTCGACCTGCTGGGCTCTGGCAATCCTTCCACCTCAGCCTTCCAAGTAGCTGGAACTACAGGTGCGCGCTACCATGCCTGGCTAATTTTTGATCTATTGTAGAGATGAGCTTTCAACAAGTTTTCCGGGCAGGTCTCGAACCTTTGGACTCAGGCAATCCACTCACTTCAGCCTCCCAGAGTGCTGGGATAACAGGCTGAACCACCGAACCCGGCCAACTCACCCTATCTTAAAGAAACAGAATACCACCATCAACCAGCTGTCTTGCAGACCTGTCATACGTAAGTAATTTCTTTCTTGCAGACCCCAATATATACTATATAAGACAGCCCCCTCTCAAAAAACTCTCGTATTTCACTAATTTCCATGACACAGCATGAAAACTACCACAGCAGCCTGGAGTGTTGCTCTGATATCCCCGGCATTCACCCCAATAAAAGTTTCTTTTTGCCCCTTCCTCTTGGTAGACAGGAGAGGCTTCTCTCCCCTTCTGCTGCTATCAGCTATATATTCCACAGGGTATCTTCCCTTACATAAATTTGCCTTTCTAAATTCACATTTGTCTTGATAAATTCTTTATACCAACCTGCAACTCCAGTCTATGAGTAACCATATGCATGACACTCCCCAAGAGTCTTTGAGAGCTGGCGAGCATCCTGTGAGCTGGTCCCATGGAGCTGTCCACAGAGGCAAGCACAGTGTCAGGTTCATGTAGATGGTGAGGTATGAAATAACATGTGTGTTCTAAATCCAGTACCAGCACCAACAAGGGCAGAAAGAACTCTGTAACCTCCAGCATACCCCGAGTCTCCTCTTCATTTTATTTTTGTCACCTGCAACTGGAAGTTTCTCATTCATCAAGTTTATCCTCCTGTACAAGGGTTAGAAGGTAGTGAACCCACCCCTGATGCCAGGCAAGGCTTTCCTTCCTTTCAGAACTGACAGCACAGCAGCCTAGAGTGTCAGCTCTCCTGACCTTGCAGGAAAGTCCTTCCAGCACCTCCCCTTTTCCTTGGCCGATGTTTACCAGAAACCACTGGATTCTATTCCTCTCTCCTTATAGCCAGAATGGCATTTCTGTTGCCCCACTGTGAAATTCTTAGTGAAATCACTTCTCTACTGCTTTTTTTTTTTTTTTGAGTTGGAGTCTCGCTCTGTCCCCCAGACTGACATGCAGTGGCACGCTCCCGGCCACCACAACCTTGACCTGCTGGGCTCTGGTGATCCTTCTGCCTCAGTCTTCCAAGTAGCCAGAACCACAGGCACGCACTACCACGCCTGGCTAGTTTTTTTTTTTTAATTGTAGAGACGCGGTCTCGCCTAGTTGCCTGGGCGGGTCTTGAACCCATGGGCTCAGGCAATCCACTCGCCTCGGCTTCCCAAAGTGCTGGGATTACAGGTTGAGCAACCAAGCCCGGTCTACTGTTTATTTTGATGGTAATCTGCAGCCTCTCTCAAGCTCCCAAGGTGTCAGGCTCCAAGACAAGCATCCAAGCTGGGATGTTAGGGGCTTATAGGGACTAAGAAAGTATGAGGTTGAGAGGTGAACTTCAAGCCCTTCCAATCAGCCGGGACTCCTCTTCCACCAGTTGAATGATCTGGTCTCACTTCCTGTGTGCTTGAGATGGGCTGGATGCACAGTCTTATTTTATTCTGAGGCCTTTGGGACTTGAGACCCCATTCATGCGCGGTGCCCTGTCTTTGGTGCTGAAACCCGATCCAGGAGCTGGTGTACTCTGTTTCAGGAGGCTGACACTACCACCACCCTCTTCTCACTCAACTCTCCCCGATCCCAGCTTCAGCTCTCATTATTTGCATTTCATCTAACAGATTTCCTATCTAAGATCAGGCAAACATTTGGTCCAAAGCTCAACTTTAAAATAGCCTCAGGCTTTGTTCATTTTTTTTATCTTCCCCATAAAACCAAGACCATCCAAAGCTCAACTTTATTTTATTTTATTTTTTTTGAGTTGGAGTCTCACTCTGTCACTCAGACTGGAGTGCAGTGGCCGCTCCCGGCCACCGCAGCCTCGACCTTCTGGGCTCCGGCGATCCTTCCGCCTCAACCTTCCAAGTAGCTGGAACTACAGGTGCGCACTGCCACGCCCGGCTAATTTTTGCTTTACCGTAGAGATGAGGTCTCGTCAAGTTGCCCAGGTGGGTCTCGAACCCGCGGGCTCAGGCAATCCACTCACCTCAGCCTCCCAAAGGCGTGGGATTACAGGCTGAGCCACCAAGCCTGGCTCAAAGTTCAACTTTAAAATAGCTTCAGACTTTGTTCATTTTTTATCTTCCCCATAAAACTGAGACCAAAAACACTGGTCTCTCTCTCAAAGTGTTTATGAATAATAAAACTTATATATATTGGCATGTTTTCTTTTCTGCCTCTGCTATTGGAGAGTATTTGCCATCAGTGATTAGAGATTTTACTTTCTATTTTAACATGGATTTTTAAAAGCTAATTCCTTTATTATTGGACAATAATATTACTGTCCAATACTGGATGGAAAATGTGCATTCAGTGAACATATTATTGGAATGAGAAGAATATAAAAATAAAGAAAATTATAAAATAAATCTTCTCTTTGAGGCTATGCTCAGAACCATATAGAATCTGGCATTCCTAGGGGAAGAGCATGGCTTAAAATATTAGCGATTATTAGTCGTTAATGTGATAACAAAAATGAAATCTTCCTCTCAGGAATGTGCCAAAAATTCATGAAATAATATATGTAAAGCGTACTTTATACACCAAAAGATGCTTGTACTTATATTGTACTACATGAACGCAAATTTTGATAAGAAACTCAATTATAAATTCACTAAAGTAAATTTCCTAATGTTGAAACATACTTACATGACCCGTACGAACTACTGAAATAAATTTTCTCATATTTTATTTAGACGTTTATAATCATAATTATAAATGAGGTTTTTCTATAGCCTCCTTTTTATATGTGTCATCCTTATCAACTTTTTGGTATGA